GCAAATTAGAAAAGAAAAGTTTATGCCTTACAATTTGGTATCGGAGCCTTTTCCTCAGTTTTACCAAAGAATAAAGGCAGATTGCTGGGAGATGGCAAATGTAAGGCATAAAAGAACTAAGGCAGGATGGAATCTCCTTTAGAGCTGGAGCCTTTAGTCGAACAAGAAGCTATGGATAAAGAATCCTTGTATAAGGAGGACTCTAATGTAGAAACTTCCAAATAGGAGTCTAGTGGTGAGGTTCGATCATCCAAGATTTTAGAAGGAAAATTGGCAACAGACTAATGCTCTACTGGAGACTCTCATACACAAGCTAAGAAGCAGAAGAAAATGCAAAAGACTACAGATGCTAGCAACACAGAAAACATGGAACCTTTGGCAGGGACTGAGGTGGAACTGAACAAGGTCAAAAAAACCGAAGTGGAATCAGTCCTTCAAGCAATTCCCAAGTACAAACCAAAGCCCCTATTGGTCTTCAAGGAAGTGAATGACTATAAGGTGGTGGAGGATTGGTTTTACGATATGGAGGATTACTTTCGAGTGTTGCGGTTATCGAGTTTGGAGAAGGTCCTATGTGCAAAACCATACTTAACAGATAATGCTAAGTCTTTGGTGGAGAACAATAGAGGCAAATGAAGGACCGGTAGCCACTTGGGAAATGATGAAGGCGAGGATCTATATAACTTACATTCCTCCGAATGCTACTCTGCATCTAAAAAATAAGTTGAGTAGGCTGAAGTAGACCAAAACCATTCAAAAGTATGTGAATGTGTTTATGGCAAAGAGGGTATTTGTCACAAACATGGGTGATATGGATGCGTTCTATGCCTTCATATCAAGCTTGCAAACCTGGGATCGAAGCAAGGTGATGTGGAACCTAACCAACTACAAAGAAGCATTGGATGTAGTTATTAAGGTGCATTTCAATGATAACTTATGAAAGGGGAACACAACAGGGTTGGAGTCCATGTTTAGCAAAGGAGCCAAACCAAGGGGATATATGGCAAAGAGAAATTTATGAGTCCTTAGGGTTTTGGAAAGGCAGATTCGGAGGCTAGCAAGAAAATACATGGGAGAGTCAAGCAAAAAAGGACAAACCCACAGATAAAAAGGTCAAATCAACTAGTACCATGGGAAACAATATATACTTCAACTGCAGTGAAGTAAGACACTTTTTGAGAGAATGTCCATACCCAAAGAAAGCTAGAATCAATATAGCCATAAAGTCGGGTGAAAACCAAACTGAGGTATGTGATCCAATCCCTAGCTCAAAGTTATTTATTACATGAGTAATTTTGGTAGAGAATCGTTCGCAACATTTACTTGCCCTCTAAGGGAAGCTCAAAAATAACTTTGTTAAGATAACACAGGTGCTTTAGATAATTTTATGGCTACAAACATAGTATAGCAAGCCGGACTAATAGTGTAGCAACTGGGTGAACCAAGGACTATAGAGTTTGTTCAAGGTAACTAAAACACTGATAAGGTACTTCAACAAGCAAAAGTTGAAATAAGGACATGGAAAGTAGACATGGATTTCACCATGTTGGATATGGCGGGATTTGACATGATTTTCAGGATGGATTGGTTCAATCGGTTTATGGTAGCCCTGCATGGACAAGATAGGAACCTTGTGCTATTGGCAATGCCAAAGGAAAACGATTTAGGGTGGAGGCCTAAGATCTAAAAGTAGGGTAATGTAAGGCCAAAGACTCCTGCTTGAACCTGGTGTCCACAAGATGACAATTCACTAAAGGAACCAAAGTAGCATTTTTGTGTTTACTGTCGATGAGGAGTAACAAAAAGACAAGAACAAAAGAAGTACCTTTAGTGATTTAATGGGTGTTAAATTAATTTCAAGATACCATGCCAAAGGAGTTACCGGCGGGGTTAACCCCCGAACAACTAGCAGAATATAAGATCGAGCTAGTCAAAGGTGCTAAGGCAGTGGTTCATCCCCCCTATTGTTTGAATGAAAAAGAACTCAAGAAGCTCAAACGCCAACTAGAAGAGTTAATGGATAAAAGGTATGTTAGGTTAAGCAGGTCACTGTATGGAGTGCTAGTGTTATTTGTGAAAAAGAAAGATGGATTTATACGCATGTGCATAGACTATTGGTTGCTCAATAAATATACAAAGAAGAACAAGCATAATTTTGGATGGAGAGGGATTTGGTGGGAACAAAAGAAGGAACATTGGGAAGGGTGTTCCTTATGTCTCCAAGCATCTTAAGGTTGCTAAGGTGTGGTAAAAGGGTGACCACTCATGGACGGACGTGAGTCTAGGACTAAGTCTTAGTCTTTGAAAGATGGGACTATAATATATGTAGTCTTGGACTACCAATGTGACAAGGGTGAATAGGTATAGCTTTAGTGTAATGGGTTGATATGTTGGTAATACCTTTAGGTATCAGTCATAGGGTCAAACATGTAAAGCATTTAGACCAAATCTAAAGGCTAAGCGACATAAATGCTATTTATAGGGTTAGCATGTCTCTCTAAGTCAGAAATAAGAATTATGGAGTTTGTGAGTGAGACTCCTCTAAGTGGTCAAAGGTGTAGTTAATTAGTTAAAGTAGAATGGAAAAATTAATTGCTTACAACTAACATCACCTATTGCAAAATCTCCCAAGAATATCCTTAAAGGCACATTTCTTCTCGAGTGCAAAAATAGCTCGGCCTATCTCTTTCACTGTATACAGACAAAATACCTCTAGCAAGATTTGCATGGCTGTGATTGAATGGTGTCAATAGCCAAGGAACACTAAGTGAAAAACCTCTAAGTTATAGAGCTATCAACTATCCTGTCCTGGTAAAGAAAGAGTAGCACACTCATTAGTTGTTCCTAATGTGGTATAGAGAATAGTAGTTCTAGGAATGAACCTAGAAAATCAGATCCACTAATCAAGCATATAAAGCTTGTAACTAATAGCATTTAGAAGTTATATGTAATTCCTAATGAAAATAGCAACTTCCTCAACATTAGCCATTTGTAAGTTCTTGAATTTGAACTTCCTAAGAAGTCACCCAACTTAGTATTTTCAAACCCAAGAATGTTTAACCCCAAATATCCCAAAACCCTTAACCAATTGGAAAAGGAAGTGCATTTTTGTTCATGGGCCCTTTCCCTTTATATTTTAATCCTTATGGATCATTTCTCAAGTCATTCCCTTTAATTAATTACAATCCACCATGCTCCACCAAGCAATATTCAAAGCTAGCAAGTTTGTAGCAAAAACATCATCCACCATGCTTTGGGATTTCCTAATAAATGGTGGTAGATGATTGTTATTGCAATCTTCTACATGGATGTTGACCAATAGTGATCAAAAGGACATACACTATATTTAAAATTGGCTAGGCAAAATAAAGGTAGTTACTAAAATAGACAATTAACTTCATAATTAACTATATTACTTATATAGAAATCTACATTTTGAATATCTTAAGTGAAACCAAAGGAAACCACTCCAATGCTTATGACAACAACATTTCACAAACTCCAACATGGTGAGAAGGTTTGAGATTAAGATTTCATCATATGTTGCATAACACCAAATGTTGGCATAGTTGTAAACCTGTTTTCAGACACAAAGAACTCCCACCAGGCATGTCAGAATAACAAAAGATAAGTGATGGTAATGGAGGAGGAGGACATAGTTGCCTACATAAAAAAATCAAGTTCAAGATATGTCACTATCGACAGTAGGAGGAAAATGAAAACAACCTGAAATGAGTCATGGAATTGACAATGAAGAAAGAATTGTAGACTTGTTAGAGGACTCTAAGTAGATAAGGTTCACAATTATTATGTAGTATCGATTATAGTAATATATAACAGTTTGTGTATTAATATTAAATTTAACTTAACTAAAGTAGTTTAATCCAATTCAACTATCAGTACCAAAATAAAAAGAAAGAACTGACAAAGTTACTTAAAAAAAAAAACTACATATCTAAGAACTGCTAGTGAAAAAAAAATGATAAATAGGACGAACATAAAATTTAATAATTAACTTTACAGTATAGATAAAAGAACTATTTGGCCCCCAATAGAAGCTTACAGATGTTGTTAACACATATCCAATCGCACACTTGCTATTTGAAAGGAAATTCTAGATTATAGAGGAAACAAAAACACACACTTAGTACATTAGATTATTCAGATTTCACTCACTTCCACTATCATCAAATACTTTAGGACTTTACTCCATGCCATTTTTCTTGGGATGAAAAGCATATAGTAGTGCCACAACCTCTTCACCTTCAAAATCAGATGAAATGTCAATGATAGGCAGTGGACTGTTGGCATTTATATGCCATATTTCTTCAATGGATGGTTTAAACTCCAAATTCATTTGTGCACTAGGCTAATGAAGTTGGCAATCCACAGCATAATTGGGTGAATCTAGGCACTAAAATGCCTCACCTACCTTAGGAGGATTTGACTCCACATTTTGATGCTCATTACCATCCATTTGTGAAGAGACTTTTGATGAAGTGTTGGTTCTTGATTTGGAAGAAATAGATCCCTAGGTGAAAACATTAGAAGCTTTTATAAATGGAGCAAAAGGCTATTCAACACTAGGAGGAGAAAAAGTCCAACCAGACATTGCCAAAGAAATTACACAAGACTTTTGATCTATACACTATAGTGGCCACTAACAATTAAGCCCTCTTTATGTACTAAGGTGTATATAAATAAATGAAGTTTCAAACCCATCAATGGATAGTTAAACAACTAAACATAAAATAGTTACAAGACAAGTAGATCTACAAAAATAAGACAATTAGATCTATAAAAATAAGACAAGTAAACTATACTTTTAGCCTGGAGACTCACATGTGTGCAATAAAGAATTGACAGGCTACATTTCAAACTACACACGGTAGTACAGGTTGACAAGGCTTCTGTATAAGCTGACTAGTGAAATTAAAATGAATATACTCTAAATATTCACTGACGTGGCAAGTTGCACACCCCTGTTCTTTAGAAGTCAGATGCAGAAAGAACAAGAGCAACAGAAAATGGAGAAAGTGGAGATCGTCTTTTGGTTGTTATTTGCTCTAGGCCTCTCACAAATGCTGGGATCCTCCTCCAAAAACGAGGCGGATGTTCTTCTCGAGTTCAAGAAGGGTATAAACGACACAGAAGGCAATCTTCTTGACTGGAACCCGGGCAATGTTGCCAACATGTGTGCTTGGGCAGGAATCTCATGCGATTCTTCCACCAGCGTCGTCTCGATCAGGCTTACATCTCTTCTCTTACAGGGAAGTATATTGCCCTCGATTGGCCAGCTAACACAGCTCAGAGAGCTCAACTTGTCACGGAACTACTACATGTCCGGTGAGATTCCCAGCGAGATCACAAACTGTTCTCTCCTTGAGGTGCTAGATCTCTCCTACAATCTCTTCCAGGGCCGGATTCCGGGCTTCTTGGGACGCCTTCAACGTCTACGTCATCTTTCCCTGCGGTGGAACTATTACAACCAGGAGATTCTCTCGAGCTTGGCAAATTGCTCGTCTCTCGAAGTCATTGATCTCTCGAGAAACCAGCTTGGTGGCCGCATTCCGGAGTCCCTGGGTCAGCTTTCCAGGCTGCAAAATCTCTCTCTGGCTGACAATTCCTACATGCATGGAACACTGCCTCGAAGCTTGGGCAATTGCTCGTCTTTGGTTGGTCTCAGGCTTCGAAACAACAAGTTCACTGGAAAGATACCAGTCGATCTATTCAAGCTACCAGTGCTCTTGACCCTTGGCATTTCGATGAACGAGTTTACTGGTATTGAATCTGGTGGCTACGCCTCAAGCAGCATTGTGGAGCTAAACTTGACCTCCAACAGTTTCAACACCTCCATGGACAGCATACTAAAAGGAATCCAGCAAATGAAGCACCTTCAAATTCTGGCTCTTGGTGGCTTCCCACAGCAATTGTCTGGTGAGATCCCTGCTAGTCTTCTTTCTTTGAAATCACTTCAAAGTTTGGACCTCCAGAATAACAGTTATAGCTCCATTCCTTTGGACTTTGCCTACGGCAACCTGGGGTATTTAGACATCAGGTTCAACAAGTTCGCTGCTCTCCCTTCTCACGCATCGAAGTTTCTTAAAACTGTGAACGTGTTACGTCTGGCAAGAAACCAGCTCACATCAATCCCACCTGAGATCTTTGGTGGGGATGACTGCGCTCTTGAAGCGATCGACATGTCCCGCAACAACTTGTCCACAGGAATTCCTGAAACTTTGGTGGATTGCCTGTCCCTACAGAGCGTGGATCTATCCGTTAACAATCTACAAGGTGGCCTACCGAGTGGAATGGCAAAGCTCCGGAACTTAACATCCATGACCGTCTTCAGGAACAACTTGACTGGGCCTTTGTTTCCACAGGTCGGCTCACTGGAGAAGCTGAATACTTTGGACCTTTCATGGAACAGGTTCTCAGGAGCCTTGTGGGAAGACTACTCCCCAGGTTCGTCGATGCGGCGACTTGATCTCTCTTACAACGAGCTCTCTGGCCAAGTTTCTCCAGGCATTGGCAACTTGACAAAGCTCACGAGGCTTGATCTTTCCAATAACCATCTCTCCGGTGTCATTCCTTCGGAGCTTGGACGCTGCTCTTCTATAACGCTGCTGGACTTGTCAAGAAATGAACTGAATGGTAACCTTCCAAAGGCGATGGACAATTTCACAGAGCTTCTCATCCTCAATGTAGGAGATAATATGCTAACTGGTGAGGTGACCATGGACTTTGGAGCCACTAAACACCTAGTGGCCTTGCAACTTGGGCAGAACCAATTCAGCGGCCCTCTCCCATACAGCTTGAGCAACATCTCCTTGCAAATGCACCAGGTGCAAGTCTCAAGCCAAACTCGGCAGCATGACTTCTATCTGCAGCCACTTTGCACTGGGATCCAAGCGCTAGACCTGCGAATGAACAACTTCCAGGGCATGTTTCCAGAGATAGTTTGCAAGTGGACGTGCTTGATGGTCTTGTCACTCGCAAACAACAATATCCGGGGCACCATCCCACCATGCATCGCCAACCTCACCAATCTTCAAGTGATTGATCTCTCCAGCAACCACCTCACTGGTGCTTTGCCCGACCAGCTCGATCTCATGCAAGGTTTCAAAGCCACAAATGTGAGTGTAAAAGCATTGGGAATGATCTCCAAGTCTCCCGAGTGGTACAGCTTTGGCGGGGGCGTGTTTGGCTACGGGATCACCCTGCGAGGAGCATATGTCACCATATCAAACCTCATCGATTCCTTCACGCTCATGGACTTCTCAAACAACGAACTCGAAGGTGAGCTGCCCCTCACACTTTCTGGGCTCGTGGGTCTCATGCAGCTCAACATCTCGAGCAACCGATTCTCTGGACGCATCCCAGTTGGACTCTCCAGGCTTAAGGTGCTGGAATCACTTGACCTGTCGCACAACAACTTCGAGGGTGGCATTCCGCAGGAGATTGCGTTCATGCCCGAGCTGTCCAGTTTCAGCGTTGCCTACAACAATCTCAGTGGTCCTATTCCTACTGGCAACAACCTCAACACCAAAATCCAGCTTTGAATGATTGCCATCTTCTTGGAACTTGTTGAACTTATTGATGATCATCTGGATTTTGCTGGTGAACACCACTACATAGAACGCCACCACAAAGGGCGGGATAGCACCACAAAGAAAGCCCAAGACGAAGGTATCAGTGTTGGTGGCATGTACTGGGATGTTGGTCGAGGAATTAGATGTCGAAGCATTGCATGCCGAGAGTGGGAATCCACACAAGAGAGTGTTGCCTGTGAAGGCATCCAGAAACCTACTGCACAGGCAATCCCACAACAGTCGAGTCTTGCCACCCCCCAGCAACTTAGCTTCAGCAGCTAATGTAAAAACGAAAGTAAGGCACCAGCTTTTCAAAGCTGTGGTGCGATTTCAAGAGAAACAAGAGTTGATAAGAATTGTGGACGAATAAAGGTATTTGATTATAGCAAGCTAGACACTTGATCGCTGTTATCTTCCACTCCCAGGTAGTAGAGGCACAACAAAGCCCCAGAGCACAGAACAAACACAAGCGCCAGCCTCTCGAGCGTGAGATCGGTCTTGCTGCTGTCCAGCTGAGAGGCGCTCGTGATCTGGTACCAGGGCGATGCCACCGCTCCAAACAAGATGCCCACCAGCGCGCCACCGACGTGAGTCCAGGCATCCACCGGGAGCTCGTTCCCCACCAGCACGGTCAGCCCGCTAAGCACCAGGACCTTTTGCAAGAGCTCGCCGGTGTCAAACGTTCGCACGGCCTCCTTGTTCTTGACGAGGAAGATGATCCAGCTGCAGATCATGGCAAACACCGCGCCGGTTCCTCCCACTGTTGGCTGCGACGTCTGGAGAAAGCTCGCCACGTTGCCCATGGCACCGCCCAGGAGGTAAATCAGGACGAGTCCTATGGAGCCGTAGAGGCTCTCCACAAGTGGGCCAAAGGATATCGTCGCCCAGCAGCTGAGGAAGAGGTGCAACAGGCCCGAGTGCTGCGAGAAAGGGAGACACACACGGTTTGAGTTGATCTGAAGTCGAGTGGAAGAGCTCATACCAGGAAAGTTGGAGTTATCAGCCTCCACCATTCTCCGGCGACAATGAGATCGTTCACTTTTGCTCCTTGCAAGAATGCCAGATCCATGCCGTTTTCTGTTTGCTGGGTCGTCGCAAGGCCGAAAATATAGACACCAATGTTTATCCCCACAATGGTCGACCTGGAGAAAAAAAATCAGAAAAAAAAAAAAACCAGAGAGAAAACGCAAACTTTGACTTACACCACAATGGATCCCCGTCGCATGAGGAGCAAAGGCACTTCTTTGTTGGCCTCATCGCTGGTGGTATTCAGCACGACCAGAGGAGTTTCTTCATTGTTGGGATCCAACTCAAACTCACTCCCACGATCTTCTTTCACTGCTGCGGCTGCCGATGCTTCCTCCTTCTCTTTGGATTCGGCTTGCTCAAACTCCTTGAGTACTGTCAGGAGCAGCTCCTCCTTCAAAGCGTACTCGTCCTGTAGTGACTTCAACTTATCAGTACCTGCCTTCATAAAAACTCGTCAACTAAACCCTCGCCCAGCACAAACAGAAAAAAACTACCTAGTGCAAGAGTAAAGACTCACCACTAGCGTGGCTGCGAATTTCTTTCGCTGGATCGTGCTCTTGCTTGTGCAATCCGCCAGACTCCACGGAAATCACCGCTGCTTCGCGTAAAGAACTTAAAGGCTTCTCCTCCTCCTCCCGGGAAGTCGTGCTCGATTTCTTCTTCTTCGTCTCAAGCATGTCAAAGTATGAATCCAGGGTCTTCAATGCACTCTTAACAGCCGACGAACTCTCCCCTTTCTTCTCATCATCATCGCTCTCGCCCGCCGACGACGAGCTGGCGCTGCCCGAGCCCTCGCATTTCAAGCGCCGGCAGAAGCGCTGCGGCCTCAGCGCCGATCCCCTGTGCCCGATGCTACTCAGCAGCAGCGATCTGTGCGACACCGAAAACCCTTGCTGGATCGCCGCCACAGACATGAGCTCCGAGCAGAACTCCATCGCGCAAGACTCACCAATCGATCGAAATCCGCCTCCTCTCCCCATCGCCATAGCCAGAGCTCGCTAGAACCCTAAAATATTTAAGCCAAGGGTGAAAAGAACAAACAAAAGAATTAATAGTAGTAAAAATGAGCAAGGACAAAAAGAAGGGAAAATTTACTTTTTACAACCATTGGCTCTTCGTGATTTTTTTTTTCTTCTCTCTCTTGTCTCGAGGACGAGGATCATCACAAGCCGGGCCTGCTTCTCCTCATCCTCTTTCTTCGCGCCGCAGGACCCCAGCTTCGTCTCGACCACTCCTCAAATTCGTCGCTCTCCTTCCCCATGATCTCCTCGGACGAATTCTCGCCAGAGTTTTGCTGCTGCTGCTGCTGGCTCAGTCGATCCAGGGACTCCTGCTCGGACGTCGAATTGTTGCTGCCGTAGTTCGAGGACGCGGAGGAGATCCTTTTGGTCTCGTGATGAGGATGAGCGTGGCCTCCTCCATCTCGGTGATCCCGTGGCTTCGAGGACGAATTCACGGCCTTGGTGATGTTGGTGGTGGAGGAGAGATCTCTGGCTGCTCCGGCTGATGATTTGGAGCTCCTGGATGATGGAGTGTGATGTTGGTGTTGTTGGTGATGGTTTTGCTGCTGCTGCTGCTGCTGCTGCTTCTTGGTTACCAGTTTCTTCTTGATCTTGGACGAGGACTTTGGAGCTTCGGTCGCCGCTCCACCATTTCCACCACCGCCACCACCTCCACCACCTTCGCATTGTGTCAGAGCCACCTTGACGGATTTGAACGAGGCCTTCGGTGGATCCTCCGCAGCAACCACACTCTCCTGGAACTTGGCTACTATCGTCTTGCTGTTCTTGCTCTTCTTCTTCTTCTTCTTCTTCTTGCTCTCGTCCTTCACAGGCTCCGCTACCGCTGGCGATGGCTTTGGAGGGGCGGCGGCGGCGGCAGCCGGAGGAGCGGCATGGTTTGCCACACCTGTAGGCAGCGTTTCGATGAGCCGCCTCTTGGATTTGTGATGCAGGCGGAGCACTCCACTGTCGCCGTTCTTCTCCGGCTGGACGTGATCTCGCTTCGCGGGAGCCAGGCTGACGAGGATCTCCGCCGCCAAGTTGGCACCGTCGTCCGGATTGTCCGCAAGGAACGAGTAGCCATTGCTCCCCGCCTTATCCTTGTCCTTATCCTTCTCCTTGTGACGGCTCACGGACGGCGAAGCTTTCAGCGTGGAGCTCTCCTTCTCCTTGAGACCCTGGTGGCTCGAGTGAGACTTGGAAGACGACGACGATTTCAAGCTCTTGGGATTCACCAGATGCTTCCTCTTCTTCTTCTCGCCCTCCCCATCCCTGGACAGCTCCCCTGTCCGCGAATCTAGCTCCTCGGCAATGGCGTCAGGCCGCTTCTTCCCGTTAGTAGTAGCGTTGTCAGATTCCCTTGTTGCCAACAAGTCTTTGGAACTCACCAGCTTGAATCGCCGCTTCTTGCTGCTCGTAGGTGGCGCCGCCGGCGGCTCAGCACTGTCTCGAACTTCTTCCCTGGCCTTGTGGTGCTGCTGCTGCTGCTGCTGCTCTGAAGAGCTTCTAACCGCAACCTTCTCGATCTTCCCGGACCGCTGCTTCACCTGTACATCCTCCACGCTACCGGTGTCACAAATCGGACATCCTGGCTGCGAGCAACTACAGCTTGGAGCCTCCTCACACCTTCCCAAATCAGTCTCGTCCCTGGAGCCACCTCTTCTCTCTTGCAACACTTCATCCCTTTCCACTACTTGGGCATCCTGTTTGATCGCCTTGACCACGTCCAGCAGACCGGAATTGGGCTTGTCGCTCGAGCTCAAGCCCAATCCCCCCGGAGGATTCAGATCCAAGCCTTTCGGCTTGCTCTCGTCCTTGGGCTCGCCAGCCTCGAGCTTTGCAACCTCGCTCCCATTCACTGGGCTCTCCGTACTGTCCCCTCTCTTCCGCTGATCTGTTGCTACCACTAAAGCTGCCGCTGCTGTCTCGTCACCGTGTTGACGCAACAAGCCCACAACCGGTGGTCCGTCTCTGTCCAGCGGAGCCAGCTTAAGCTCCATGGTCGCTCCATCGAGTATGAGCTTGGGAGGTTTCTTAAACGGCGGTTTCGGAGGCGTTGAAGCCGAGTAAAGAAAACCCGGCGAGGGAGCAGTGCTCGCATTACTGCTCGCCCCTTTCAACCAGCAGCCACTCCCCCCACCACTCTCCTCTTTGTTGTTGTTGCTCGCATAGCTCGCCGGAGGAGGAGCAGCCGGAGGAGGAGGAGGAGGAACCACCCCGAGCACCGCCGCGTGATGGTGTTGCTGCTGATGCGAGCTCGGACTCGGACTCGTGGTCGCAAAGCCCGAGCCACCTTGCCACGCAACTTGGACAGACTGCGCAGGTGTCCCCGCCTGTAACACGGCCACTTGCTGGTACTGTGGCTGCTGCGGCTGGTGGTAATAGTTGGAGTTTGATTTCCACCACAGTCCCAGGCCGCCGGGAGAAGCCTCCATGAAAGCCGACGACGACGACGACGACGACGACGGTGGCGGCACTGGCTCCCTTCTCGCCATGTTGGTGGACGGGATCAGAATTCCCTGGCTCGAGTAGCTCACGTGATTTTGCAGGCCACCCAGCGAAGCACCGAAAAACTTTCCATTGTCCTCCGCAGACGGACCCCGTTCCATGGCTGCTGCTGCCGCGGACGCGAAGAACGGGTTCAAGTTCTCGATGCCGGAGGACGATGATGAAGATCCTCCCAGTCCTTTCCCGTTCTCGGCTGCGAACCGGTTGTTGGGGCCCGGCTCCAAAAACACAACATGCTGATTCTCCGCTGCCTTTGAATTCGTGGAAAGAACTTCCTGCTGCTGCTGCTGCTGCTGCTGCTGTGGCTTGGATACCTGCACGAGGAGAATAAAAACAAATGGAGAAGGAGCACAAAAAAAAAAAGGAAAGAGAAACAAAGACCCGAGTTAGCAAAGTAGAAGGAATCAAATTGTGATTAGATAGGAGGCACCACTACCTTATCGCTTGCGGCGAGGTGAAATCCATTGGGCGGAGCTCTGCTCTTCTCCACAGCCG